CGGTGTGCCACCCCTGCCCCGGCGCGGCCGTGGCAGGTTCCCGAGCGACGGGCTGCTGCTGCTGGCGCTGCTGCTGTACGCGCCCGTGGGGCTGTGCCTGCTCGTGCTGCGCCTCTTCGTCGGCGTCCACGTCTTCCTGGTCAGCTGCGCCCTGCCCGACAGCCTGCTGCGCCGGTGGGTGCCTGCCTGTGCGGCCCATCCTGGCACTTGTCCCTGCCCCTTGGCTCCCAGCGCGTCCCCCCTCCCCGCTCGTTCCAGTGCTTCCCAGCCTGTCCCGGGCCCTTGCTTGGGTTTGCCAGGGATTGGCACCAGGTGGGTCTAGAGGGATGAGCAAAGCCCTGTGTGGCCCTCCCAACGCTCCCACGTTACCGTTCCAGGTTCGTCGTGCGGGTGATGTGCTCCATGCTGGGCCTCGTGGTGCGGCAGAGCGACCCCCAGCTCCGTGGCGCCGGCATCAGGGTGTACATCGCCAACCACGTGACCCACTTCGACCACAATGTTATCAACCTGCTGACCTCGTGCAACACTGTGAGTGGGGCAGGCGGCAGGGCTGCCCTCTCCCAGGGGTGGTGCTGAGGGGCCTGCTTCAGGATCGGGCCCTTGCGCTGTCCTGCCAGCCCAGAGAGTCTCCTGGGCTCCGAGAGCAGGGAGGAGCAGAGCTCAGCTCGGTTAAGCTGACGGCCTTTGCATGTGGCGCTCTGTAAATAGGTTGGGGCAGAAGCCGGGCTGGGCGCGGGGCTTCCCCCAGCACGGGCAGGTGGCAGCTGCCCAGGAAGCAGCGAGGGGCTGTAGTCCTTGAGTCATTTCAGTTTACAACTGAATCAGCACCTCTGATGGGGCTTCCGATAACACGAGCAGCAGACGTCTCTGCTCGGAGGCAGCACTTGGTGCTGAGCCCTGAGGAGCGGGACAGCACCTCTAACTTGCCCCTGAATCTTCTCTTGCAGCCTGCCCTCAACAGCGCCCCCGGCTTCATCTGCTGGTCTCGGGGGTTCATGGAGCTGGGGGCGGCAGGGAGCCGGGCAGAGCTGGTGGATTCCCTGAAAGCGTATTCAACCCATGGAGAAAACCTGCCTCTGCTGCTGTTCCCAGAAGAAGCAGCCACCAATGGCCGAGTCGGCCTGCTCCGCTTCAGGTAGCAGTGGTGAGGGCCTGCCTTGGGGTGGGGCCCCGTCTGTGCTAGCGTGTCCCTAATTGTGGGACGCTTCCTTTTCAGCTCCTGGCCGTTCTCAATCTTGGATGCGATTCAGCCAGTCGCTCTGCAAGTTCAGAGGCCCTTAATCACTGTGGTGAGTCCTGGGTGTGGAAGAGCCTGTCTGGGCTAGGGGTGTTGCCTGGCATTCGTTCTGCTGTTCCTCTAAGCCCTGTGGCCTGTGCTGCGTCCTGAGGTTCTTTTCAATTGCCTCGATCTCTGCCTTCCTAGCAGCTGCATTGTAGCAAACGTTTGATCGTTAATGATGTCACCACGGAAACCGAACTGAAAAACACCAGTGCTGTGTTTTGAGCTTCCGTTAGTCACAGCAGCAATATCAATAAGCTCTCGATTGATCTGGCTGTCTGTCCGCTGCACTTCTTGGTCACTGTTACAATAGTATGCAGGTGCCTCAGATTTCAATGTTCGTCCTTGATGTCCCTGGTGAGGAAGGGGAGAGGCTGAGTTGCCAGGGGTCCTGCGCGCAGTCTGGGGCAGAGCAGGGGCTTGAGCGTAGGCCTCTTGGCTCATAGCAACGTTAGTATTGTGACCACCCCACAGTTGCATGGGTTGCAGTGGAAAAGCTTTGAGTTTTCCTCAATGAGCTCTCAGGGAACTTTTTTGTTGATGGGGCAGGGAGGCTGTGGAATCACCTTTTAAGGTAGGTTTCCAAGAAGAGGCTGGCCGGGATGTTCAGCGGTTGCACGTGTGCAGCGGGCTGGACCAGGCAACCCCTGAGGTCCCTTCCTGCTCTGTGAATCTACAGTCAGGCGATTTCATTAGACCACTCTTCTCCAATCCAGCTCAGAGAGATGTGGCAGGAGCCAATGGAAGAGAGAATTGCTCTGTGCTGCCCTAACATGTAGGGTGGTTGTGGAGCTGTTACATGGATCAGCGGGGTCACCTGGTTAGGGGCAAGCAGGGATCTGCTTGACTGTGGGTGTTTGCTCAGGCTAAAGATCAGGGAGCCAGAGGAGGCTTGGTTTGGCAGGCAAAGTTGTCCTGTCAGCATCAGGGGCAGAAGAGGCAGTCCAGGACAAGCAAGCAAGGAACCTGCGTGGAACAGCCGAGGTACATTAGAGCCCTGAGATGCCCAAGACTTGGCTGGTCTGATGTCCATTAGACCTGCAACTGGGAGCCTGAAATAAAGACTACAAAGGGACAGACACAAGAGGTCTGTCTGCACCTCAAGCTCTAGCTGTTGCTGAAGAGCATGGTCCTGTCCCCCTGCGTGTGTTGGATCTGGGAGCGAGACAGTGAGGACACTCTGGGGCCTGTTGTTGCTGTTCTTGAGTACGCAGGGGCTGAATCCTGAAAATGCTGTAGCCCCCTGCTCCTCCCCAGGCGCCTTTGCAGTATTGCTGGGTTTGAGGCCTGTGGGTGGGCAAGGGTCTGCTCTTCGTCAGCCATCTTGAGTGCCAGGGAGCCAGTGTGAGGGTAACTGGTGCAGTCCTTGGGTTTCTTCATTTGAGAGGTACCCATCCGCCATCGTGAACAAACACCAGGGCAAGCTCTGCGATACTTCTGTTGGCAGACACCACCAGGCTCAAGGACCCGGAGTGAAGGAGAGGTAGCTGTCCAGGCCAAGTGGCTGTTCCATGAGTCTTCTGGGCCTGCCTCTCTTTCGAAGGAAATGTGGCTTCATGTCACTCCTGCATGTTTTAATAAAACTGACCTAAAGAATCATCATGGCCAGACTGTTAACAGCACCAAGCTTGGTGCCAAAACAGCATAGGTCAAAGTCCACACTAGAGAGGTTTCATCGTTGAGCTGCAGTTAAATTATTGGATTCATTAAATTGCCACCTTGTTATGATAAAAACCACCTTTCTAAGTGGAACAGAAGCACTGGACCTGTCAGCTGTCTGACTGTAAAACATAGCTGAAGAATTTTAGCAAGTTGATTGATTCTACAGTCTGGAGGTGGCAGCATTTGCTGAAATTACACTTTTCAAGTCCAGAGACCTGGGTACCTTGCACCCAAGGGTTTGAAACCTGGCTCACTGGCAGACCGTAAAATGTGGTTGTTTTTGCGAGTAAGGATCAGTGAGTGGGTTTTTCCAAGTGCTCAGGCTTGTGTTCTTGGTCCAGTGTCATTCGTTTTCAGTAATCCAGACAACAGCGTAAAGCCTAAGCCGATATAGCTTGCAGGTGAGACAAATGGTAGGGTAATAGAGAGAGAGAGAGAGAGAGTGGTGGGGATTTCTCTTGTTCAGCAAGTAATGACCACAACCTCGCAGCATGCCTGTTATCATAGTGAAGGCAAGGCGATAGCGCTGAGCACAGGAGTGTGGTTATGCTGGGAAAGCAGCAGCTGGCCTAGGGTAGGTCTTCACAGGTTGGAGCCCCAAGATGAGCACATGGTGCAGGGCTGTGGCCAAGAGGACTATATGGCCCTCAGATGAGCAGGAAGAGGGTGTCCAGTCAGAGCAGAGATGTGCAGTTGTCCTGTCCAGTGCAGTTATTTAGAACATGGGTGTGTTCTGTTGTCCGGACTCCAGACAGGACATGGGAATGCCGGAGAGCACACATGGGGCTACAGTACCAGTGCAGGGCTGGCCATGAGGCTTGCAGTGCCCAGCTGAGCTGGCTTCTCCGAGTGCAAGCTGAAAGTAACTGGCACAGGAAGGGCTCCTCTCACCTGGCTGATAGGCCTGGAGCAGGTTCCAAGGCTGAATGTTCACATCAGCATCTTGCTTCAGGGGCCAGTTTCTCTGTTTCTTAGTGTTGAGGGAGCCTGGACTTGCCATCAGCTCACCAGGGGGTGACGACACTGTCACTCCCAGCCTCTGCTTTCATCCAGCCTCTGGGAGAGACCCTCTGGCTTGTGTGTGCGGGGAGTCGGGTGATAGTTTGGTAGTCTCCTCTGATCCTGCTGCGTGGGAATCTCTTCACTCCTTGCCTTCATGGGTATTGGGGCAGTGGGGGTGGTGAAAGAGCAACGCACTCCACGTTTGCACCTCTGCTTTACTCTGCTTCAGCCAGTTGGTCAGAGAGACCAGGAGGGAGTTTTCCTCCCTGAAGCCAAATGGAGCAGATCTATCCTGGATGTTTTGCATTCCTCTGAAGTAGCAGAGGTTGGCTACGCTGCAGGTGGAACACTGGAGGTGAGGGACCAATTCTCGGGTGCGAGACCCATGCCTGTGGTCTGTCTTGGTCACAGGCCCAGGGTTGCTTGGGGTTGAAGGAATTTCCCCTGGTTCAGAGTGTGTTTGTAGGGGTGGCAGGGTACCACCTTCCCCTGCAGTGCATCTTGTGCATCACCTCCTGGGCAGATCTGCCTGTTTCCTGCCAAGGCTGTGGGGTCTGTAGCACCTTGGGCTGCTTCACGTTCTGCTGCTTGCACCAACATCAGCTACAATCCATGAAAGGCTGATACAGGGCTGGGTTGGTGTAGGGGTGTCTCGGTGAGAGTTACCTGCCTATGAGAGATCCTGCGTCACCCAGGATGGTCTGCTGGTCTCTCCTGATCCTGGGCTGAGAGTCAGACCCACCCGTGGTTAAGGTTTGAGTGAGGATGCCTGGTTGTCAGAGCTTTTCCCTTCAGCGCCTCGTTTGGGTTCAGGTGTGGTTGCCCTAGCACTGCTCATCGATCCTGGGCTTGGCCCTTCCTCTCTGGTGTCTCCCTCCAGTGCCTTTGGCTGATGTGGGGTGCAGGGTCTGCACAGAGCCATGTGGTTTGGCCTGGTCAGGTTTCAGTGACATCCCCAGCTGGTGTCAGCTTTACAGAGTCCTGCTTAAAGCAGCCGTTTGAATTGTGCACAGTGTGCTGCCAACCACGAGGACGTGTCTGTGACACCCCTGCCACACTCAGAACACAGATAGCCAAGAACTTAAGGCTGCTTGTTACCGGACTTAATGTTAGACCTCAGGTAGTGGCACCAAATTCATAAACGCTCAAACAAGAATAGTCCATTTTCTGAAGAGAGCATTTATGGAGCGCAGCAATTTGCAACTTCAAACACACAACAAAGAGCAACAGGAAAACTTTGCCTAAGTTAATACACGGCCCAGCAAGACCACGGGGTCAGCGTACACAACTTCATCTAGCTTAAAACGCAGCACGTTAAGCCAAAAAGGCAATGGAGCTTTGCATGAGTCTAATGTAGTCCCGAGGGCTTGCAGCCAGGTATTCAGAAAGTGCTTCTGGGGAATCTGCAGGTTGTCTTAGGTGTTGGAGTGGAGGTCCCACAGGTCTCATCTCTGCCTGGGTTTTCATAGGCAGATTTGCACCACCTCCTCCCCCTTGGGGGCCTTGACCAGAACATGCTTCTCATGTCCCTCACCACTCCCGTGCTTTCAGCCTCTGTCTCTTCTCTGCTATCCCAGTCTCCCCGTTTACAGGTTCTCCTTTGAAATGTAAATGTAGTTACCTGCTTTCCTGGGTGGCAAAAGTCCAAGCTGTCTGGGACCCTCCTCTGTTACCTTTGGTCTGTGTCCAGCCCATCCATGTGATGATTGTGCCAGGTCTTTGCCAACACTGATTTCCAAAGCAGCTGCTGTGGCCTTGCTGTGATAAGTCTTGAGGTGTGTTCTTGTCCATGTGTAGAGAGCTCAGTCACGTGCCTGTAAAAAGAACTGAGAGGTCTGCGATGGAGCCGGCTACGTGGCTGTCCTCACAGCTGGACATCTTGGGGCCGGGTGTTGTGGGTCTCGGAAGCAAGGAAACTCTGTAATCTCTAGATTTAGGAGCTAGGTCACAGATTAGACGGTTCATTTTTGAAGGATCCTTCTCAATGAGCTAATTGGTATGGACTCGGGTTTGGGGTTGTTGCTTTCCTCTAGCAGGGTCATAGCCTCTGTCCGGGTCTCTCGAATGTATATTAATAACCTTTGCAGCAGCAGGATGGTGGCAGCCACAGCCCCCCCTGCTTTTCCAGGATCAGGGGTAACACCTGGGGCTGTCAGGGGTGACTGTTGTGTGGCTCTGAGGTTGGACACAGGGTTTGTTTGGGCTGGTTTGGACAGGGATGATCCTGCTGCAGGCAGGGCTTGGACTAGGTGTGACCTCCTCAGGTCCCTTCCAGTCCCACCGCTCTGGGACTCTGCTGCTCTGAAATCTCGCAGTGAGACTTGTGTGACTGCAGAGGAGGCTTGTGCAGGGGGTGGATGCCATATAGGCAGTTTCCATTGCCGCCCCTGGCTGTGCCTAGGCTTAGTGCTATCCCCCTGTGAATAGACTGGGCTAGTGTGCAAAGTGTGTCAGAGCGAGGTCTCCTGGGACCATCAGGCTTCCTTCCCAGGACTGGCCCAGGGTCATGGTTCCCGTGGTTCCAGGGCAACGTTCCACAGACCAGTGGCCTTGAACTGATACCAGCCTCTCCTGAAAATGGTCTGAGGCTGGGATTCTGGTCTGGGGTGGGGATAGGCGGCTGGGTACAGACTGGAGCACTGCAGGTTTGCCTTCCCCAGCCACCTGCCAGGCCCCAGTGCAGATTCATCTGCCTTGGGGCTTGTCCCTGCTGCTCCCACCCTGTGGCATGACTTTCTCCCCACATCCGTCACTCACTGCCCTTGCCAGAGTGTAGCTGTGCTGTGCCCCGTCCGTCCCCCTTGCTGCGGCCTCACCAGCTTCCCTGCCTGTGGCGTCTCACTGTGCTCTCTCCCCAGAGCGTGGCCGACTCCTCCTGGATCACAGAGCTGCTCTGGACCTTCTTTGTTCCCTTCACAGTTTATCAAGTAAGGTACTATCTCTCTCTTTGTTTGAGCAGGTTGGGTGGGAAGGGCCCGGTTGTTTCCCCTTCCTTCCCCCCTGGCGTGTGGAGGCCCCAAGGCTGGCTCCATGCTCTGGGTGCCTGTGGCTCCTGGTGAGGGGTGGTTGTATGTGGGGCGGGGAGGCCTTTTCCTCAGTTTTGCAATGCATTTCCCAGCTGGTTCTCCCCTCTCTAACATGCCTGCAGGGCACGTGCCCTGCACTGGCTCACTGCAGCTGCTTAGCCCTGCGTGGCCTTTCACCCTTGCCCTGCTGGGGCCTGGCTTCCCATGCCCGTTTCCCAGCATAATGCGTTGGCATCTGGATTCCTCCCTGAGAACCCCAGGAGCAGCTCAGCCTGCTCCTTGTGGCCTAGCCCAGCAGGTTCTGTGGCCTGGGCAGCTGCCTGCCCTGTTCCTCCTGTGCTGGGGGTGGGGGGCATCTGTCTTCCTGCTGCTTCCAGCCCCTGGGCTCTGCCTGCCTTGTGGGGCAGCTGCAACTCCTGGTTTGGGTCCCCGGGGGAACCCTATTGGCGGGCAGTTCGCACCCTGCCCTCCCAGGCAGTGGGAGGAAACCTGGGGCTGATCCCGCCCTGCTGTGCCTCTCCAGAGCTGCCTCTCGCTTACTGGTCCTGGGGTCTGGCATGGGAGTGGAGGGGCTTCAGCCTCACTGGAGCTGAGAAGCCCCAGTGCCCTGGTTCCTCACAGCCCAGCACTGTCTCCTGGCAGGTGGATGCCGCCAGTCTCCAGACCAGCCGAGGAGTCCAGTGAGGAGTTTGCTCTCCGAGTGCAGGAGGTAGGGAAGCGGGGGCTGGGGCTCAGGGAGCCGTAGGGGATGGCAGGGATGGTGCAGACCTGAACAGCCTTTGCACAGAGGGCATGTCCATGTGGAGCTGGGGGCAGGAAGGGTGTCTCTGACCCTGTTTTTGGGGCGTAGCACACCCGTGTCAGTTCCCAGCTTACCAGCTGTCAGCATTGTCTCCCACTGCTCACCCCGAGCAGAGCGCAAGCAGCTGGGACCCCTCTGCCCTCCAGCAGGGAGCTACCGCCTCCACCCCTGTCGACCCTGGAGGGCAGAACCCTGCTGCTCTGGGGCACATGGGGTCTGGGGGAATCTCCCTCCTCTACCTCTGTAGCAGGTGGGTGCAGCTCTGTGTGTGTGTGTGTGTGTGTG